AAAGAATATTACCCAAAAGCATTGTAATTATCCCACAGGCTACTACATGATAACTATGAAGCCATGTCTTTGATGCAGTGGTGTAGGATTTGTTATCACACCACTTTGCAAGTACCCTCTAGTTTCTTTACTTTTTTTACAATTTAATCCTACTACTTTTCCATTTTTAATGTTTTTTATTTACTTGTTTCCATTCTTTTTTCTTAAATTAATAAATTACTTTCTGTTATGATTATGTGGTTAAGTTAATCATTTCATGCTAATCACGTGCACATAAATTAAAATGGCGTCAAACCACAAACCCACGCGGTGCTGCAGCTGGAATTTGTCTTCCATTGTTCTCTGTCTTTGCTTCTTTTTGAAGCCACTTGTCCAGCCCTTGACCCAAGCCCAGAGGAGTGATGTGAAAGCCAACTTGAGCCGTTCTCTGGCTTAAAAGATTTCCGTGTTGATAGAAGAAAGATGAAAGAAGAAGAAAAAGTCTGAAGAATTTTGCAGAAATTTGAATTTGGGCCTATTCTCCAAAAAAGCTCCCGCTACAGTACAGTCCACTTTAAAGGTACCAGGAGAATCGCTCAGTGAAGGAGAGCTCATCTAAGCCATTTATAAGGCTGTACAACGTAAGATAAAAGAGTTATAAGTGTTTGAAAATCATAAAAACGGCCGCCATCTTGAAAAACCAACCTCAATCCTACATATAGGCTACCGCCTATATAATACCGTATACCGTACGCGTCTTAATTTTCGAGGTGTATTAAATTTCGTTATTTTCGTGCTCACCTTAAATTCACGAAATTTAAACCACCTCTAATGCCATTCTATTGTATGTAGACTATGGCCAGAACACGAAAATTAGCTCACACGAATATTAACTTTTGAGCAAATTTCATTGAAAACACGAAATTTTGAACCCTCGAAAATTTGGACGTATACGGTATGCAAAGAAATAATATTGAACAAATTTTTGTCCGCCATGTTTTATGTCAAAGTTATGCAGAGTTCCAATGGCTGATATGCAAAGTAGAGCTGTTTTGCCAATAAAACTTTTGTTGTGCTGAACTCAGGACTAGGAGAGGCTTCATATCAACTGTTCTTTACTATAGCAAGATATTTTGAAGACTTAAGAAGGCTGGGAGAGCCAGAACGATCAGTTCTTGACTCTCTGTCACAGCCCAAAGAGGAAAACAGGCTCATACAACAAGAGTATTGCACTATACTTCCTAGGTTGGCTCTCTTGGCATCTTTCTTGACTCTAGAATAGTTTTTAGCTTCAAAATGTAGTGACCAAGATCTCCAGGACACAGAAAGCACTTGCTGCTTGACGTAAAACATGGCGGCCAATTATTGTATGTGGGCATATACCATAATAATGATATTCATTGCAAAATTAATGATATTCACAAGCTGCTACTTCTCGCTGAAAGGGGTCTATTGGTAGTTATACATGTACTTGTGATAATGGTTATCAACTCACTAATGATAATCACACTTGTAATGATATTGATGAGTGCAGTGAAGGAACATCATTAGTTAGTAGTGCTTCTCTTGAATTGCTGTTGTCATGCAGTGTTAATAAAAATGTTAATGCAACTTAGCAGTCTTCTTTAGTGTTTGTAATTCCTTTCAGTGTTGCGATAAGTTTGTGTCCCATGAAATGTAAAATAAGTGCTATACAGCGTAAAGCAAGTGTAGTATGATCATCAATGACCAGGGTTTCCCAGAAAACTTAGGCATAGTTTTCTAATTTTTAACCTACTTACAATTAGGGCCCTGTTCTATAGTGCAGGGTCCTTCAGCCAAATTTTGTCAAAACGGCTAAGGGAGAATTTTCCATATCTATAATTTTTTCTGACACATATACATATTCTTATGTTGTGTAGAAAGTTTGAGTGGATTCAGATTAAAATTGGATTTTTTATGAATTTTTAAAATTGCTCCAAAATTGACTTAAGGTCCCTGTACTATAGTACAGTGCCTTTAGCCAGATTTTGCCAAAAACGGCTAAGAAAGAAATCTCCATTTTTATAATTTTTTCTGACACATATAGACATTCTTATGTTATGTAGCAAGTTTATGTTGATTCTGACCAAAATTAATTTTTTACGAATTTTTAAAGTACTCAAAAAGCACTATAAGCTACAGTGCATTCTAGTTCTTGTCAGCTCATGAAGCATGCTGTTTAGCTGAAATTAGCTTGCTTAGCATGCTTTATGGGAAACCCTGTCAATGACTCTCATTATTTTGGCCTCTGATTGCACCTTTGCGTTGATATGAAATAATTGATGCATAAATTTTTTTGCATTGGAGATGATTACTTTTTCTCTTTTTTCTACACAATAGCCAATTTCCATATACCAAGAGAGGATGATGGTGTCTTTGATGAGATTAATTTCTCTGAGATATATGGTCCAGCCTCTGACAAGATAGTACGTCAGTACAAGGATGATGCCCTGGGTCTACCCACTCCTTACATACCGTCAAAGAGACCACGCTATGAGTCAAAGGGAAGGAGCTATAGCTCACCTCGTCCTAAGCCAAGTCCTTATGTGCATGGAGCCTATTGATCTTCATCGTAAGTAATATTAGATACTAGTTATTACTTATTAAAAGACACATTAAAACATGTCTTGTAAGTAATATTAACTATTGGTGACATTTGTGGAAACCCATATAAATCAGAGCATATCTATTGTTTCCAGTGCTTGAAATCACAGCTAGTATCTACCATGTGTAATTGAATCTCTGCTATAGACAGTGCTGTTTAAATGCACCACTGCACTGCACAGTGTTTAAATTATTTTATTATATTTGTTTTTTTTCTAGTCGTTATTATCCACCTCCCAATCGGGGTTACTATGCTCCTCCTCCCCCACCTCATTATCGTAGTTATTATGCTCCTCCTCCTCCTCCTCCTGGTGCTGGTGGGTGGGGCCACATGAGAGGGCGTTACGGTCACCCACCACCACCGCCTCCTCCTAACCCTCGCTATGGGGCACCACGCCCGTACTACAGTAACAGAGGCAGTGGTGGATATTATAATCGCTATTAAAAAACAACCAACTAACTCTCTTTCCTCTCTATCTTTTCTTTATTTTGTTATAATTGTGCACATTTTTGAACTTTACATATTGTAATGATGCATGCATACATACACCATCATACCTTGGCTTTCTTTGTTTTAGATAAGATAGTTAATTCATTGTGTGTCCAAACACCAGTAAACCATTTATGGTAGGACTGATTAAATTTATTTCAAGATCTATTAGTTTAGACACAGATCTATGGTTTATAGACTGATGTTCAAATTTGCATAATCTAATATGCATGTTCTGATATTGTACAGTGGATTCTGATTGGAATTTGATTTTTATAAATTTTTGAAGTTGTTCAAAAATTGGACCAAGAAACCCTGTGCTATATAGTACAGGGTTTTCATCAAAAATGGCAAAAAAATTTCCATTGTATTTTTTGATATACATCCTTATGTTGTGTAGAAATTTTGAGCAGATTTTGTTAAAATTGGATTTTTAAATTTGCTCCAAAAGCTGTATGGCTGCCATGACAAGGATGATACACTTAGCATGCTTTGTTGGAACTGAGAAACCCTGTGTCAAGCACTATGACTTTCTATCATAGATATCAGAGTAAATGAATTAGAGTAAAGAGTAAATACTCCAATATCTATGGTTTCTATCTTCATAGATTTCCTGTACTCTTAATATCTATGCTATCTTTGATATGGTCTGGCCCCGCCCAGACAGCGAATCATGGTTGGAATGACAGAGTGAATTTATGAGTCTAACCCTATAATCATAGTGCAGTATCAACAATAAATGCAGAATATGATTATTATTATTATTGAGTCAAACAACTCCTAGATCTACATGCAGCCCCACCCAAACTAGACTAGGAAAAACTGATCGCTATGAAAATTGCTCTCTTTCTCTCGTTATTTTCTTGTAAGTTGCCATATACATTTAATTTTGCTAATAAAAACACTGACACTTGCTACTTCTAACTAAGCTTGATGATTTTATAAAAATCCTCCTAGTTGCAACATTCACTGAATAGTTGCGTCCTGATCTAGATTTATTTTATATAGTTTTGCTTCAAAATGCTTCAGCTGCTTATGGCACTGAATTTTATGTTGGAGCCATGAGAAACTACAGAGGAGAAACTCATTACCTTTTTCTGTATGTCACAACTCCCTCTGTCTCTTCAGTTTCTTTTTCAATTAAAACCTCCAATGGAATTTTTGGCAGCTACAGTGTCAATAGCAGTGTCCCTGTTGATATTAGTTTATCAACAACACTTGTTACTAATGATGGCCTTTATTCCAGTCGTTTCAAAGGAGTATATATTTACTCAACAAATGGAGGATTAATCTCTGTACTAGTGATTAATGTGAGAGGCTCAAGCACTTATGGAGACTATATGGCCTACCCATATCAGAACTTAAACCTTCCAGAATATCAATATTATGCTGTATCTACTGGAACACTTGCAACATTAAGTGATAATTCTTTAAGTGAAGTATTATTAGTTGGAAATGAGGATAACACAACTGTCACTGTCATTCCTACTCAAACTGTTTCTGTTCCTATTGATATTCAGACAAATAGTAACAGTAAAACAGTCACTGCTGGCTCATCATTCAATTTTACCATTCACAGAATGCAAACGTTTCTTATTGGTGCCCCATTGCTTGACATCAGTGGGACCAGTATTGTGTCTAATAAGCCTCTGACAGTAATCAGTGGTCATGAGTGTGGCAACATTCCTCTTGTTTGTTGCTGTCAACATATTGCTGAGCAAATACTTCCAACAATAATGTGGG